TGATAAGGTACAATACCCTTAAAGATTCTCCCAATCATAACCAAAACAAACCTCTGCCTAAAGACGTTTGGGAAAAACAGGAAACCCAAAAGGAATATTTTTTTCTAGCGTGAAATTATGACAGCCCAAATACTGGGAGGATGCACAGTTAAATTTGCCTAAATGGCCTCCATTCAGGTTCTTCACTTAGAAAAGCCAAAGCCAAACATATACTAATGAAAGCACAGTGTTTACAAATGCACCAGCAGCAGCACAGCGTGCAGAATTCCTCACACCCTTGTCTTCCAGGGCACTCCTTACTCACCCCAGCGACAGCCAGATGTCATTTGTGTTTGCATAGGTTACTCACACCACCTCACTCACTTCTCCACCTTTCTTTGCTGCCATAATCATTTCACAGCAGAAACAGTAAATACCAAGAAGGTATAGCCTTCTCCCTTATTAGTTTTCTATCTTAACTAACAAATTGTTATTCTCCAGTGCATTAATAATTTTTCTTCCTCTAACTGAATCTTACTTGTCCATATTGTTCTGACAGCAAGGGTTTCAAAACTAGAGAGGGTTAAAAACAGTCCATCATAAACTAAGGTATGACCTCATTATTTTTTCCCCTTTAAAACTTAACACTGGTAATAACAATGGAGCGAGCTTTAATCTAGACAGAGATGCCAACAGTTAATGGGCATTTTCACTACTATTTTGTCTTCATCTACTTAAAATGTATCTATAGACCAAAGGGATAGAAATACTCCTGGGGAGAAGTATATACTTGTACTTTAACTCCAGAGCATAACAAAAGTCAAAGCAGCTGTTTATAGTTGGCAACTGTGAAAAATGTTACACGAAGCTGTATTGCAATTTTTTACTATTCATCTCCAATGTAAAACCCAAATATGTTTCAAGCCTACAGGTTTTAAGAATACTCACCTTCATCATATTCCAGTCTTCTGGATTACTTTACACAAGATGAAGATTCCCCACTCCCAATACAAATTTCACGTTCTCACCTGTCCATAACGACTATTGCTGCGCTAATGCCTACAGTGAATGGATGGTAACTCCTACACCAGATCTTTATTTAACTGAATGTATGACCCATGCTTCTCTTAGCCTTCTGAAGTCACACGTGTATAAGCACCTGGCATCGTTAGCCTATTTACTGTCTTAAGCAGGTTTAATATTGTGAGGATGGGAATTCAGTTTCTTACTTCCTCCATTTTTCTCCTCCCCAACCCATAAGGCACTAGGGATTTTGTGCAAAGACTCAGGAAAATGAATGAGGTTTTAGAAGCAGTATTAAGTACATCTTTTCCTAAGTCTGACCTTTTCCACAGTTCTCCAATGCCCTCAGAAGTAAGGAGACAAGCTCAGATTCAATTCATATACAATTGCTCAAAAAGCTATCAGCTGCACCATGTAGTAACTGCAAATGAAAAATATAATCTCCAGATGACAAATGGCTTGCTTTCAAACAGTGCTTTCTCCCAGAAATCTGTCTAATAGCAGAATCCTTGGAAACAGTGTTCCCATGGTCATGGACATTTGCTTCCATGGTATTCAGATAATACCCTGCAAGTTTCGTACCATACATATAAAAAAAGCATTTCCTTCACGCTCCCTTCTCCTCTTCAACCCCTGGAAATGCATTGCTGCTATATACAATTCCTACATTGTCCCCATTCCTGCAATACATTACATAAAATCTTCGAGACATTCATGCTGTGAACATGTTTTCCTCCAATTTGCTGTTACACAGCTACTTCCACAGTTTGTGAGGCTGTACAGATGAAAGGTACGTAGTCTCATCCAAAAGTTACCAGAGTCCCGGTGGAGAGACACTAATAAGTTCAGCTGCATTCAGATCACAATTTATCCCAACACAAAATGTAATCACTCCTAAAGGCAGTCATCCTCATATGAAATCACTGCGATGAAAGGTAATTTCTCACCAAAAAAAGCTATGACAAATTCATCTGGAACCAAGATACAGAGCAACTGAAAGGAGAACTTACATGTCAATGATGATGGATGCCCCAGAGAATTTAAATATTCCAGAGATGCACTGATGTGGAGATGAGGAGCGACTCTCTTAAAAATAAATAAATAAAATGCTCATTTAAGGAGATTCCTGTTAATATGCATTTGTGGAATACAGTACAAGCCACAATGGAATTTTGCTTCATTTCTGATATCCAATTATATCTCTAAGAAATACAGAAAGCATACCCAGGGAAAAGTTAGAGTGAAAATAAAAAGGTACAGGTTGGAGTAATTGAGTTATAAAGAAATTTCAGTTCAGGCTGAGATAAAGATAAAAAAAAATTAAGTTCCTGAGCAATTGATTCTGCTCTGAAGCTGTGCCTCAGCGTATGGAAACCCACACAGAATGGGGCCATTCAGTCACACCTGGGACACATTAAGACAGAAACTTATAAAGCACTTTTTTTACAGCAGAGACAGTCGGTTTGTAACAGGAAGAAGGCAGAAGGCTTCGTTGGCGTATACTGTATGTATATGTTAATTGGTATACACTGTATGTATATGTTTATATGGTCTTTCTATATAGACAGATCAGAAAAACTACTCTAAACATCCAAAACCAAATACGTACATATCAGCTCCCTGTGCCTACCACAAATCCACCTCCTACCTACTGCTCTCGGACTCAAACCCATGCTGTTCCTCAAGGTCTGCTCTTCCAGCTGTTCTTACCGATTCTGCTTTCCTAAGTTTCCAGGCTCTGGGACAACACATCAGCACACTCATCCCCGGCATGAAGGAAGTCTGGTTAGAAGGCAGAGTAAATGTAGCCAAGGCGATAGCAATAGAGAACTGGGAACCCAAGTGCTCGGTCACAGAGCAATCCTGCACTGCAGCTGTCTTCAGCCATTGCTCTATCCAGCGGGTTCCTTTCCTCCCTCCCCACCCTGCAAGACCACATGTCTCAGTAATAGACAGCAGTTAATCATCAGATATGGAATCTGTCTCTCCTGCTAAGGAGATTTTGAGGAGAGAACATTATGTAATAACATGTTCTGTAGAAAGGCAAACAACTCAATGACTGCAACATCACACTGAAAATTGTTTAATAACATACTTCATACTTACTGCTTTTCCACTCTAAAAACTCAGCTACAGCCCAAAATTCACATGGCATTTTCATTTACTAAATATTTCTCCATCACAGAAGAACTTAAGATTTCAACTACCACGGAATCTATAAAAGTCAAAACATGCTAATAAGTATTTCTTAAGGGTAAACATAGTGCTGAAGACAGCTTAGAAACACTAGTACGTTAAATCACTTCAAATGTTTAAACACACTGATATTGTCTGGAAATCAAACCCACACCTCCAGCCTTACAAACCACATTCCTCAAACCTTACTCAGATCTACAAACAGCAACTCTCACCTTCCAGATCTTCACTGTAATTGCTTAGATGTAAAACAGAAGCACAGAGACCCCTGAATCTAATTGCATTTGGGGAATAATTTATAACAGAGATACACAGAAAAGCATATAGCCAAAGCCTAACCATTGATATTATCAAGCTCTTTTACATCAAGAAACCTGCAGGAGCAAAGGTAAGGAAAGAGAGTATATATGGAGAGTGTGCTCTCAAAGATGACACAGCTTTCCTGATTATATGCCTAATAGGGGCAATAAGTGTTCATTATGATCACCTGTTCCAGCCTCCCCTAAATATAGCCTGTAGGATTTCCCCATACTAAGTCCTGGTAAAAATGGGCCTGCCTTTAGAAAAATTATCCTTGGTTTAAAGTTTTTTAATGCTGAAAAACTTTATGAACTTATTAGTTTCATGAGTGCCGTTATTTTAAAAGACCCGCACCCTCTGTCTAGTCTCAGGATGTCAAACTTCAAGTTTCCAACACTGGGTGTTGCTAAACCTTTTCTCTCTTGAGTAAAGAGCCCATTCCTCACCTTAACACTTCTAGGCAATGATCTAATCACTTTTTTATTTCTTTTAGAGCCACTCAAGATAACATATGTTCTGAGTGGCTTTACAGCAGGGGGCTTCTAAACGTTTTTTATGCTGCAGTGGGCTGCACCTTGCACACAAATCTCTCACCTCAAGAGCATACAGCAAAACAGTAACACTTGTGCACCTCACAGTAACATTCCCACCTGCTCCTCTATCTTCTCACATTCACACAAAGAGCTATTCCCTGGCTCATCAACTCGCCCCAAACCTTTCCAAAAATCACTAACTGGAGCGCAGAATCCCCTAACTCACTATTCCTTGCGGTACAACTCCACACTGGGCATGCTGAAATGTATATTGGCTAGCTGCACTCAGTAGCTACAGAAGTAACCCAAACTACTTATATATAAGTAGTTCTCAGCCTCCATCATTTACTGCTTTCTTTGTTTAGTCCCGTCATAAAATGTAAATATAGTAAGTAGACTATCTTTTTCAAAGCAAACACCTGGAGGAGAACTTTAGGTAGCACACAGCCGAGTGATAATCTTCACCTGAGCGCCCCAGAGCCACTCACCTGCCCGGTGACCAAGAGGCCAGTGAAGCGCCCGTTCCCCACCGTCCCTTCCACCGAACAATAACCCCAACCGGCGTCCCTGCCAGGCAAGACCCACCGCCTCCACCGCCCCGGGAGGTACGGTGGAAAGCACTGAAAAATAAACCCCAACCGAACACACAAGCACCTCCCGTCGGGTTCCTGAGGCTAGAAGCAGCCGCACTCTGGGGAGGGGGGGTGCGGAGCCGGGTAGCGCAGCCCCGTGAGGGAAGGGCGCGAGTGGGGGGGGGGGGAGCCCAGGGCGATGCACCCGACACGGTGTTCGCCTTCCAGCGGGACCGCGCCGCAGGCTCCCTCCTCCTCCTCCGCTCCCTCGAATCCTTCTCACGGGGGAGGAGAAAGAAAAAAAAAAAAAAAATAAATAAATAATAAAAAAAAAACCAAACACAACAACAAACCCACCACCCCCCCAAACAGTTGCTACTAAGTAAGAAGGACGTACCAGGAACCTCGGGCAGGTGAAGAAAAATACGTGCGAGCAGCAGCATCCCCGCCGCGGCGGCAGCTGAGGGCTGCGGCGGCCAAAACTCCGCAGCTCGCCGGAGCCCGGAGGTGAAGTCCCGCTCCCGCCGCCGCGGGGCTCGGCTCCCGGCTGAGGCGAGGCGAGGCGAGGCGCGCACACGCCGCACCCAGCACCCACGGCCCCGCGCTCGCTCCCGCCCACGCAAGGGGCGCGGGTCGCCCGCGGGGGCAGCCCTGCGGCAGCCAGCCCTCGCCCCTTCCCCGCCGCGCTCGGGGGTGGCGGCTCGCCGCCCCGCCGGGAGGGGAGGGACGCCGAGCCGAGCCGAGCCGCGCCGCGCCGCCGCCGTCCCCCCCGCACCCCTCCAGCTGCTGCCGGGCAAGCCCCGCCGCCCCGCTCCGCAGCGGCCGCCCTCCGGCAGCGCCGCTCCCCGGCGGGAAGCGCCGGGATGGAGGCGGAGGAGGGGGGGACGGGGGGGGGGGAGGGTGTCACTCCGCGGCCACCCCTCGCCCCTCTCCTCCCGCTCCCCCTCGGCGCCCCGGGGGCGCGGGCGGGTGCTGCCTCCGGGGTACCCCGCCGGGACCCCACCCCCCGCCCCGCTAGAGCCGGTCCCGCTTCGGTTTCGGCGGCGGTTTCGTTGCGCGGGGCCGGCAGCGCAGGGGGCGAGTCGGTCATTTCTCGGAATGGTCTTGGAAGGGGGGGGGGGGGGGGGGGAATGGTATTTAATTTAGAGTTTTAGGGGGTTTCAGCCATTAGAAAACAGGAGCTGTATCTGTTCCGTACACTGGGTGAGGGAAGCGTCCACAAGGTAAAACAGTATTGAGGTGTATAATAAATGACATTTGTCGTAGCTGTCCTCCCTATAGCTACGTACAATAATTCTTAAGCTTCATGACCCTCGCTTTTAACGTTCCAAGTGAGCTAGACTTAGCAAACAGCTACAAGTATTACAAAATATTCCAGATTTCAAAAGTAACTAAGCAAAACAGCATCTTGATTAATCCAGATGAATTGAATGATTCATTCACCCTCATAGGCATCCTCGGGCACCTGAAGAGCTCACATAGCAGGCATCTAAGAAAGATAAGGAAACTAATTTAGCACTTATGTGTGTTTCCTAACACGTTAAAATATGGGTTTGAAACTGGTCCAGTAAACAAAGGGAGGCCACATGAAACTACTTAAGAGCTTTTCTTCTTCACAGCTGTAACCGACTTCAAAACTGATCTAATTCTAACACTTCTGAAAAATACCAATGCATGCAACCTAAATCTCCAGCTCAGCTTTCACACGTAAAATTTTAGCATAAAAAATACAGTTTTTGCACAATAGCAACGTAATGTTATTTGTTACTTTCAAATTCCTAGTGTTGCATTTTTAAGAAACTACAGTGCTTCCATTATTCCAAATGATGCGTATGTTGGGAAGTTTATACTTAGGAGGTACAGTGTTTACTTGGTTAGTATATAAAGGCAACACTTTTAAAGACTAATTCGAGTTGACTACATGTTATACTCGCAACACCCTCCTTTGACTTGTTCAGGAAAAGCTATTGAAGGAATCTGCTATAATTTAAGTGCTCAGGTATGCCATTTTGTCTGTAACAACCAGAATAACAAATTGGTCTCTATAACAGTATGACTCATTATCAAAAAAGATACATGGGTGAATATATTCTGTAATCCATGACTTAATTTTAAGTATTACAACAACAGCTGCAGATTTATGTGGTTTTTTACCTCAAGGAGAATTTCTGAGAAACATCACAAACCTTTTGTGTTTCTGAGGGGATAGAAAGCAGCCACTCGTAGAGACTGGAGGCCCCATATTATTTTAGTAGCACTGCTCCATACCAATCCATATTTATTAAGTACCCTTGGTGATCCACACCACATGAACCAAGGGCTTTATAAACCAGGATTACAGAAATCTGTGGCCTATTTAGAACAAAGATAAAGTATTCTTGCTATTATTTCTTTGGTGACTTCAATCTCCATCAGTAACACTTGCATCACTGTAAAGAATTACTGCACTGTGATCCCAGGCTGCAGCTTTATTAGGAATGACTCGCAGCACTCATGGCCCTTTTCCTGAGTGCTGTGGCAACTCGTCCTCTGCAACAGTGGTTTTCCAGTCAGTCTTCTTCTCTGGATACAGAAATGCAAACTCCATGCACCAGAAATCGAAGAACTTAAACACGTATTGATATCCTAGTTCACACAACCACAACATTTTCTAAATGTGAGGAACTTGCACAAATTACACATAGTTCAGTTCGATAACGTTAATGAATAAAACCTAGTTTGCTTTCATTTCAGGTAGCATTATAGAGTGCTCTGCGAGCTTTTATTTCTCTTCACCTTAATCTAATCTATCAGTAAATATCAGAAAACTAGGCTATTGATGCCATTTGCTAAACCAAAAGGTTTTGAGTAAGAAATCATGTGGCATGAAATAGAAAAGAGATTTTTTTAATGAACACCCGTAGCCTGTTAACAGCAACAGCAGCTGTTGGATAACTACGTTTCACTCCTAAATAACACAGGTGCTAGGAGTGGCATTTGAGAACAAAATATTAAAAGAAAGCTTTGTCAAGGAAGCTGAGATATGCAAGTTCTCATTGCACAGTTGTGGGTTAACTCCCTGGGTTATTTTCCAAAAGCATAATTGTGGCCGTAATGAAGAGAGAGGAGTGTGTCTTAGTTACTAACTCTTGTAGCTTTGAGCTGTTACTTGGTGGAGGTCATCACAAAAAAACTCAGACTTCAGCAACGCCTTCCATCACTCAGAAAGTTATGGAAGCTACTGCAATATGAATGTCCTATTTCTGAGTAATTTTTCTCAGTGGTTTGAGATCTCGTATGCTCTGCATTTTAAATTATGAACTTTTTGGCATTTCTGTAAAAAGGCCCCCTGTTCAAATTTTAATGTGGCTTGTGATACTGATGTGCTTCTCTCTACCACCACTGAAACGGGGAAAAAAAGTCAGATTTATGTTTTGAAAAAATGCCTGTTTTGATGCACTAATGACTCATATGGCAAAATAACATTTCAAGAAGAAATACAGTAACTGCTGCAGAAGCAATAGCACCCCTATGTTTCTTTAAACCATTCATCAGCTCATTCATCATTCCTTGAGAGAAGACAGGTTTATTCAATCAATGTTATTATGTCTGCGGTTTTAATTTTATTAAAATATATTTGAATTCATTTCAGGCTGTTCCTTCACAATTCCTGCTTGATGAGTGTGTGACATACAGGGTTTGTTGGAATTTGGCATAACCCTGCTAGCTATGTTTTTCTCAGTGTGCATCATAAATGTTCATGAGACCAGTGCAACCAAGTAGCCACAGGATCTGAACCCACCTGCTTTTCTTAGGACTTGGATTTTTTAACAATAATATTGGGCTGCAAGTCAGAGGTTCTCTTCCCTGAACTTACTTGCCCCACCATTTTTATTTATGCAACATGAAGTGGTTTTCTTTTTAAAAAGCCAATAAACTTACCTCTGAGAGAAAAGTAGTATTTTCTAAGCTGCATTACAGTTATTCACTATCGTCCTGGCCTTCTCTTCCTCTCCCTACCAAACAAGTGTTGTCAAAAGCAGGACAAGGATGCAGAAAATGTTATACAAGAAGAATGAAGCCTTCTCTTGTACAAGAGGGCAACATTTTTGAAAAGGCAATTGTTTAAGGTTTTTCTTAATGTTAATTACTACATGAACAGGAAAATTGTGTCACAGGCTTAGAAATGAGAAAGGGGGAACCGATATCGTTAGCTGTTCTGAGACAAGGCCAGTGAAAAGATTTAGAAAAGCAGGTATTTTCAGAAAGCTTTTCAGGGTAATTACAGAGCCTCTCGTTCTTTTTAAAGAAGATAAAAGTGGACTTAGAGATACACCAAATGCATCAACACCTTTGTACTTCTCTTTCTCACATCATGAAACAAGGAGTCTACTTACTGCTTTTCTGTAGTGCATTGAAAAGAAACACACTTATTGGTGTCTCACTGTGCTATGTTAAGCCAACATTTGAACTACTGCCTAGAATGAACACAAGCAAGCTAAGGGAATGCTCTTGCAGCCCCTGTTACTGTGTGTACTATTTACTTAGATGCTTATTTTGGTGTCAGCTATGTCATTCTTTGCACAGGCAAGAACTATGCAAAGCGAGTAACAGCTGTAGAATGGAGTGCTGCACAAAGAAATGTTCAGTTAACATCCAGGTGCCCTGTGTTCCACAGCAGGGCATCGAGAAGTGTTCCTCAAGGCAATGCTGAGGGAACCATTAAAAGGACTTGAACATATATGACACACCTGCAAAGCATAAACTGGGAGCACAACATATAATTTAATCTTAAACGTACCAAGGTACTTTTTAGAATTACTGTTTCACTTCAACATAGCTAGCTACAGTTCTATCAATTAGCAAATCCATCTGTAAGATATCTGTATTTTTCACAAATGTTTTATTGCAAAGAATTTTAATGGCTTCTACAAAATACAGAAACTTTTCATGAAAGCAGCTGACTTCCTATATATAAAATTTGTGAGATTCGTCAAAAAGACAATTCAAGTCACCTAAATGTTAGTGATCATCTAACTAATTGACAATTGACAAGATTTAGGACTTTTTAGAAGATGCAGAGGAAAGAACCAAAAGCACCACTAAAATTCCACACAATAGGCAATGAGCAGAAACAATCTTCTAGCTCGTTAATTATTTTTTCTCACACTTAACCTCAACATTTTCATTAGAGCTGTAAAGAGTTATGCCATTTCTTCTAACGAAGCCTCCTAAAACTCTACAAGATGACGACAGTTACTTTGTCTGAAAAGGCATACACAGGACCCTTAGATCCTGTCAATAATATGAGGCTTGCAAAAATTTCTAGTTTCAGGCAAAACTCTTCCTTCTCCCCTGTTTGCTGTCCTTGAACTACTCTAGAGTGAAGATATTTTACCAATGTCTTTGCTTAATCTTTAGTCACTGTACCATTTCAATATATGCCAACCAGAAAATTAATCTATAAAACTACAGGGTCCATGCACTGGATTAACATAGTGTACCAATTGATCCTCAGACTTGTCTTTCATCTGTGGAAGTATTCAGCCACCAGCAAAGATATTTGTTAACACAAACACCAACCATTTAAAGCAGGCTTTATATGCCAATGGTTTCCATTCTGGTAAAAAATTGAAAGGATATTTTAGCTCAAATAAATTGGTTCAACTTGTCCTTGACAGAAAAACTGCCTAGGAAGTGAGAAGC